GGGGGGGGGGGGGGGGGGGAGAGCGAGCTCAAGTCGAGGAGGCTAGAATTGAACCTGAAAAGTAGGATCCAGACACGACCATCGCTAATTTTTTTTTTTCAAGGTGTCGCAGTTTGAGGCACAACAGGCAAACGGCACTAACACGGAGTTGCCCTTCACACTCGGCGGAGCCGGACGTTAGTTTTCTCAAGATTCCGTGTGTGTCGTCTTGAACCCACGCATCACACCGAGTTCGGCAAGGCAAGGGGGTCAAGGTGAGTTTTTTCACTCAAAGCATTGTAGCCTGGGTTTTGCCGTTTCGTATGAGTGTATAAGAACGCATGCATCCAGAATTTTTGTTCCGAACGGTGTAGGGACCGATGCCCAGAACACATGGCAGGACACTAAAAACAGACAATGAAACTGCATCGTGTACGCGGAGAGGTGGTGGCGGCGAGTGTCAGTGGGGATGACCGAGTAAGTGGTCATCTCAACATGGCGGCGGCTTGGTAGATGCTGCTGCTGTTGAGTTGTCACCGAAACGAGGATTTTCTGCGCAGCGGCCCCTAAAAACGTGACCCACTCGCTCGTTGATTTTCGGGCTTGCGTCAACGCTTTCTTAGGCTGCGGAGCTGAGCGTTCGCGCACTTTCTCGCAGCAATAACGTGTTGCATGTTTTGTCATTCATCGACCGGGGCCTTCCGCAAACAGTCGCGCAGCGCAGCAGTAGCGAGGACGACAGTCTCCCGAACCCGGTCGCCGCGCCCGTCTGTTGTAATACAGACCTCTTCGTTTGGCCATGCCAAACCAAGCTTCCCCTCCCCCCATCTCTCTCTGCGTGTTCACCCAACCGTCAGGTTTGCTCGGTCTGTGCGTACAAGGAGGCCATTTTTCTTGTTTTTGTTCTCGCCCTCGAAACATCCACCTGAGGGCCGCCTGTATGCGCCCAAAGGTCACCGACGTCTTCAGCGGTGATTCCTTGGTCACTCACGTGCCGCAGTCGCCACAAATACCTGCGCGTTTCCCGATAACCGGGTTGCGATTTCCGAACGTCCTGAAGCATGTATCAATCGATGCGAGAAGCTCGTTGGGAGGGAGGCGTCAGCTGGGCTCTCCTTGCCAACAGGCGGCCCAGAATACATGACGCTCCTGGTGTAGTGGTAGGCTTTTCCCGTCGCGATGGGATTGAGGCCTCGTCGAAACTGCGCGCGATGGTGAAAGAAGGCAGCACGCGAACCCCCCCCCTCGCGCCCCGTGGCGAAGGGTCTAAAGGCATGGATAGTTATTCAGGTTGCACTTGAAAACCAAAAAGGGAATTCGAATTTCGACCGTTGTCTGGCTTGCCGGTCACTGAATCTCGGAGAGCAGGATATGAATGTTTGACACATAGCTTCATCTGAAAGGGACAGCTTCGAGAAAGGCTGCTCATGCACGAGCCCGATGCGATGCCCGGAGCTTGCTTGTATAGTCAACCTCCAAATATATCTGGTGACGTCGCGCAGCATTCTAGATCAACCGCTCGTCCACGGGAGAGCTGTGTAATCCATGACTTTACGCCGCCCATGGAGGAGGCCGAAATCAAGCCATTGCTTGATTTCGGGAGGGCAATACGATTCATCTCACGTCATCTCACCTTCCAGAGAACGAAACATTGGTACCTTCGACGACTAGAGTGGTCTCCCGAAAAGGCTCAACCACCATGTCCAGGCCGTATGTTTCGAGCGCCCCCTGGGGTTCATCCGCATCCATCCACCGACGACGAGCGAAAGGGGGCAAATTGAGGCCCATTAGCTATAGGTGTGAGTATCGCCGACGGGAGAAAAGATTAAAGGCATCGGTATCCCAGAACGAACTAGCTTCGCGATGGGGGCGTGCTTCGCGCGTTCGTTTGTGCACAAACGAGTAGGGGGCGTGAACGAATGCTTGCTTCGGGGGAGGGGGGGAGCGGGATATGCGTGTACATTCCGGGGGCGGAGAATGACAATATTTCTGGTCCATGCACAGGAACTTGTCCATCCACGATTGATTGTTGTCGATATCATTTTAACGAAAACGGAATTAAAACGTGAAACAAGGATGGATGTGCATGGCTATGGACCGCTCAACAAAAAAATATAGTTCTCGGAGAAAACAAATCCAGTTCGATTGACGGGAGGATCCGTTCGCCGCAATAATTTTTTCACATCCCACTGTTGGATGTTTGATAATGGACTTCCCACATTTACTTGTTGGTCACAATTTCGCTAATCGGACAAACGTACCCACAGGAAAATTCGGGAAAATTGGCAGCTGTCCTAATCCGTTGAGATGTATGCATGCGGTGAAGCGCATCCGCCTCAACTGATGCAAGGAAATCCCAGTATTTTACCGATGCATTCATCGCAGTCATCAAAAAGAATCAAACACCTCAATTTTAGACAGTTGCGCCTGGAGACAAGGCGTTAATATCGGTACTTTCAGATTTCTGAACAACCACCTCTTGATGCTGCCTCTCTTGTGCCTGAACCATGGGAAGGATACAAACAAGCAATTCCCGGCCAGGTGTTACGTTGAGGACCCTTCACGTGACCAAGTCTACAATATCAGACAGAGGGCGCGACGCCGCCGCACACACACCTTCTCGAATTCTCCGTAGATGGTCGTAGCGCGGAACGAGAGAACGCTTGGAGCAGCTGCTGCAGCAACGTCAGCACGGGACTGGTTCCTCCAAGCCTGACAAAGTGTAATGGCCGGACAAGAAAGGTGGCGTTCGGGGTAGGTAGTAGAGCGTAGTCAGAATACCAAAGAAGTTCACCATATTGCAGAGGGGGGGGTGTACTCATAGTCGTGCATGCCGTAGTCGTTAGACCATTGACCTCGCATCCCTACAAAGCCGGGACGGAGCACGCCGGGTTCTCACCGGACCAGGCTCTCACATCACCAAGCGCGAAGCGCCGTGAGATATTCGGCGAGTCGCATGAAGGGTGCGCTGCATCCTGCTAAGGGTGTTCGGCATCTTGTGCTTACTTCCTTGCGTACGGATGACAGCTGCGTATGAATTAATTTATTTTCTGGTGCTTTCACTTCCAGAGACAGTTGTCATCACTGTGTAACTGCCTCGAGGGTGCTTGACCGTTTAAACACAACGCGGTGCGAGCATCCCCCTTGCATGGAGTGAGGG